CCTCTCGCTTCTCTCTCTCTCTCTCTCTCTCTTCCTCTCGCATCAATTTCTCTCTCCTCTCTCCTGCTCTCTCTCTCTCTCTCTCACTCTCTCTCTCTTCTGCTCTCCTTCTCTTCCTCTCTCTCTCCTCCCTCTCTCCTGCTCGTCTCTCTCTCTCTCTCTCCTCCTCTTGCTCTCTCTTCCTCTCTCGCCTCTCGCTATATTCCTCGTCTCCTCTCTCTCTCTCTTCTCTCTCTCTCTCCTCTCCTATTCTCTCTCTCTCTCTCCTCTCTCTTCCTACCCCTCGCTCTCTTCTCCTCTCTCTCTCTCTCTCTCTCGCTCTCTCTTCTCTCTTCTCTGCTCTCTCCTCTCTCTTCTCTCTCTCTCTTCTCGTCTCTCTCGCTCTCTCTCTGCTCTCCTCTCTCTCTCTTCTCTTCTTCTTCTCTTCTCTTCCTCTCTACTCTCTCTCTCTCTCTCTCTCTCTTCTCTCATCTCTCTCTCTCTCTCTCTCTCCTCGTCTCTCTCTCTCTGCTCGTCTCGTCTCTCTCTCTCTCTCTCTCTCTCTCCTCTCTCTCTCTCTCTCTTACTCTCTCTCTCTCTCCTGCTCTCTCTCTCTCTCTCTCTCTCTCTTCTCCTCTCTCGTCTCTCTCCTCTCTCGCCCTCTCTCTCTCTTCTCTCTCTATCTCTCTTCTCTCTCTTCTCGCGTCTCTTCGTCTCTCTCTCTCTCTCTCCTTCTCTCTCTCTCGTCTCTCTCTCTCTCTCTCTCTCTCTCTCTCTCTCGCTCTCTCTGCTCTCTCTCTCCTCTCTCTCTCTCTCTCTCTCCTCTCTCTTCTCTGCTCTCTCCTCTTCTCTCTCTCTCTCTCTCTCTCTCTGCTCTCTCTCTCTCTCTCTCTCTCTCTCTCTCTCTCTCCTCTCTCTCTCTCTCTCTCTCTCCTCTCTCTCTCTCTCTCGCTCATCTCGCTCTCTCTCTTACCCCCTCTCATCCATGCCGGGTCAATCTCTCTCTCTCTCTCCATTCTTTCCTTCTATTTCTTTATCTATCTTCTCTCCCTTCCTCTCCTTCCTCTCTTTCTCTATCTCGCTCGTCTCCCTTCCCATCGCTCTCTAAATCTACATCCCTTATCTCGTCCCTTCCCATCCCTCCCTCTTATATCCTCTATCTCTCCCTTCTCTGCCTCCCTCCCTCCTCCCCCCCTCGGCTTCCCTCTCTCGCTTCTCTCTCCTCTCTCTCTCTCTCTCTCTCTCTCTCTCTCTCTCTCTCTCGTCTCTCCTCTCTCTCTCTTCTCTGCTCTGCCTCTCTCCTCTCTCTCTCTCTCTCTTCTCTTCTCTCTCTCTCTCTCTCTCTTCTCTGTCTCTCTCTCTCTCTCTCTCTCTCTCCTCTCGCTCCTCTCTTCTCCTCTCTTCTCTCTCTCTCTCTCTCTCTCTCTCTCTTCTCTCTCTCTCTTCTCTCTCTCTCTCTCTCTCTCTCTCCTCTCTCTCTCTCTCTTCCTCGTCTCTCTTCTCTCTCTCTCTCGCCATCTCGCTCTCTCTCCTTTACCCTCCTCTCCTTCCATGCCCTGTCCTCTCTCCTCTCTCTCTCCCTTCTTTCCTCTCTTCTTTATCTCTCTCTCTCCCTTCCTTCTACTCCTCTCTTTCTCTTGCTCTCTCGTCTCCCTCCCTCCCTGCAACCTCTCTAACCATCCCCCTCTATGTTCTCTCCCTCCCCCCTCCTCTCTATTCCCTCTGTATTCATCTTTCCCTCTCTCGCTCGCCTCCCTCCCCGGTCCCTTTCGGGTGGGTGTGTTCGGAGATCACATTCTCAGCCTCAGCTAATTTTCTCTCTCTCTCTCTCTCGTCTCCTCTCTCTCGTCTCCGTCTCGTCTGCTGCTTGCCTTGCTCTCGTCGTCTCGCTCTCTCTGCTCTCTTGCCTCTTTCTCTCTCGTCTTCTCGTCTGCTGCTCGGTCCGCTGCTCGCTATCCTCTCGCTCTCTCTCTCGCTCTGCGCCTTCTCGCTATCTCTCGCTCTCTCTCTCTCTCTCTCTGCTCTCTCTCTCTCTCCTCTCGCTTCGTCTCTCTCGTCTGTCTCTTCTCTCCTCTCGCCTCTCTCTCTGTCTCTTCTTTCTGCTCTCTCTCTCTGCTCTCGTGCTCTCTCTCTCTTCCCTCTTCGGCTATCTCTCTCGCTCTCTCTCTCTCTCTCTCTCTGCCCTCTCGCTATCTGCCTCTCTCCTCTTCTCTCTCATCTCTCTCTCCTCTCTCTCTCTCTCTCTCTCTCTCTCTCTCTCTGCTCTCTCTCTCTCTCTCTCTCTCTCTCTCTCTCCTTCTCTCTCTCGTCTCTTCTCCTTCTACTCTCTCTCTCTCTCTCTCTCTCTCTCTTCTCTCTCTGTCTCTCTCTCTCTCTCTCTCTCGCTCTCTCTCTCTCTCTCTCGCTCCCGTCTCTCTCGCTCTCTCTCCTCTCTCGCTCTCTCTCTCTCTCCATTCTCCCTACCCTTCCTCTCTCTCCCTCCATTCTCCCCACACTATCTCTCTCTCGCTCTCTCTCTTCTCGTCTCTCTCTCTCTCTCTCTCTCTCTCTCTCTCTCTCTCTCTCCTCTCTCTTTCTCTCTCTCTCTTCTCTCTCTCTTCTCTCTCGTCTCTCTCTCTCTCTCTCTCTCTCTCGCTCTCTCTCTCTCTCTCTCTCTCTCTCTCTCTCTCTCTCTCTCTCTTCTCTCTCGTCTCGTCTCTCTCTTCGTCTGCTCTCTCTTCCTCTCTCTCTCTCTCTCTCTTCCTCTCTCTCTGCTCCGGCTTCTCTCTCTTTCTGTTCTCTCGCTCTCTGCTCTGCTCTCTCGTCTCTCTCTCTCTCTCTCTCTCTCTCCCTCTCTCTCTCTCTCTGCTCCTCTTGCCTCTCTCTTCTCTCTCTCTGCTCTGCTCATCTCTCTCTGCTCTCTGCTCTGCATCTGGTGTCTCTCCTCGTCTTCTGATGCTTCTCTCCTCCGTCTCTCGTCTCTCTCTCCTCGTCTCTCTCTCTCTCTCTCGCCATGCTCGCTCTCTCTTCGGTACGCCCCTTGCTCTGCCGGATCCCCTGTCACTCTCTCTCTCTCTCTCCCTTCTTTCGCTCGTCGTTTCGTTTTATGCTCTCTCTCTCCGCTTCCTTCCTTCCTCTCTTTCTCTAATCTTCTCTCTTCCTCCCTTCCCTTCTCTCTACATCCCTCTATCGTCTCCCTCCCTCCCTCCTCTTATCCCTCTATTCTCATCCCTCTCCCTGCCCTCCCTTCCTCCCTCCCTCCCTCTCTATCTCTTCTCTTCTCGTCTTCTCTCTCCTCTCTCTCTCTCTCTCTCTCTCTCTCGCTCTCATCTCTCTCTCTCTCTCATCTCTCTCTCTCTCTCATCTCGCTCTCCTCTCTCTCTCTCGTCTCTCTCTCTCCTCTCTCGTCTCTCTCTCTCTCTGCTCTCTCTCTCTCTCTCTCTCCTCGTCTCTCTCTCTCTCTCTCTTGCTCTCTTCTCTCTCCTCTCTCTCTGCTCTCTCTCTCTCTCTCTCTCTCTCTCTCTCTCTCTCTCTCTCTCTCCCCTCCTCTCTCCTCTCTCGTCGCTTCTCTCTCTCTCTCTCTCTCTCTCTCGCTCTCTGCTTCTCCTCTCTCTCTCTCTCTCTCTCTCTCTCTCTCTCTCTCTACTCTCTCTGCTCTCTCTCTTCTCTCTCTCCTCCTCTCTCATCTTCTCTCTCTCTCTCTTCTCGGCTTACTCTCTCATCTCTCTCTCTCTCTCTCTCTCTCTCTCTCTCTCTCTCTCTCTTCTCTCTTCTCTCTCTCTCTCTCTCTCTCTCGCTCCTTCTCTCTCTGCTCCTCTCATCTCTTCTCTCTCTCTCTGCTCTCATCTCTCTCTCTCTTTCTCTCTCTCTCTCTTCTCTTCTTTCTTCCTTCTCTCTCTCTCTCTCTCTCTCTTCTTCTCATCCTCTCTCTTCTCTCTCTCTCTCTCCTCTCTCTCTCTCTCTCTCTGCTCTCTCTCTCTCTCTCTCTTCTCTCTCTTCTCTCTCTCTCTCTCTCTCTCTCTCTCTCTCTCTCCTCTCTCTCTCTTCTCTCTTTCTGCTCTCCTTCTCCTCTCTCTCTCTCTCTCTCTCTCATTCTCTCTCTCTCTCTCTGCTCTCTCTCTCTCTTTCTCTTCTCTCTCTCTCATCTCTCTCTCTCTCTCTCTCTCTCTCTCTCTCTCTCTCTTCGCTCTCTCTCTTCTCTCTCTCTCTCTCTCTCTCTCTCTCTCTCAGTGTTACCTGGCCATGATATTGACAGTGAATATCTCCACATTGCCATCCCTGTCCGGCCGCGTGTGCTCGTGCCAGAAGCCGATCACGTGACCCAGCTCGTGAACGACGATGCCAAACTTGTCGCAGTTCTTGCCGATAGAGATCGCCTGTCCGCCGCTGCCGCGCTTGCCAACAAAAGAGCAGCACCTGCGCTCGCGGAAACATACAGAGATACTGTGGATTATCTTCAAAGTTTAATTGTTGGAATGAGAGGGGATTATCGAGGGCCATTAAAACTTAACTTGAGACTTAAAAACATAAATACTTATCTTTTCAAGTTTCACTTAAAGTCTCAGGGCAGCTAAAGATGTTATCTCTTCCATATCGGCTGGTCACGAAATTTTTTTTCCCACATGAGTTCCGGACCCACCATAGATAGTGTTTGTAATATATCGGTTCGTATATATATGGTTGGATTATTGTGAACGTTATGGGTTCGGGGTACGGGTACGGGTTAGGGATAGGATTAGAGTGATTCATTTTACATTGTTGCCTTCAGAGGAAGTCGAAGCTGAATGGGAGTGCCGCTGATGGCTGTGGTCCGCGAACTGTCCTGAACTCAAGTGGGAAAAATTTCGCGGTCCTGGTCAAGCTCCAGCGTTACCCGATCGCTATCCGACAGATTATTTATAATCGACATCGGTGGTTTTCAGACGGGGGTGTCTATGAAAAGCTCTGCCTGTCTGTGTGTACATCTGTTACTCTCTACGCCTCCTATGATCTAGTGGTTAGCAACCTTTCTCTCACACGTAAATCTCCCGGCAAGGAATAAATCTTTCGGCCCGATCTCACAGCATGTCGACTGAAGCGGTGCGCGCAGCAAAAACAAACAACTTTAGGCGTTTGTTTACGTCGTAAACAACGCTTAACATCGACACAGTAAAGATGGCATGTAATATTAACAAGTAAGACGAGAGATCGGCAGGCAGCCTTCGCAATACTGGGTTAATTCATCCGTCCATCCCTCCGTCCTTCTGTCTGTCGGTCTATCCGTCCGTCTGTCTGTCTGTCTGCTCGTCTGTTTGTTTGTTTGTTTGTCTAGCTGTGTGTCTGTCCATCTTTCTATCTTTCCCCTGGACGAGCTGTGACCCCTGATGGAACAGGAAGAGACAGAGAACAACACTAGATGAAGAACGTGTAAGACGTACCCGCAGGGACGTTCCGTGAACACGATGTAGTTCGGATCTTCAGCTGTTCTCTCGACGAACTGAACGCACGTGTAGTTCTCCCAGTGTCGCATGGCGCGCTTGAACAGCGCTCTGTGTTCACCTGCGAACAGCGGAACACATGCCGAACGTGAGAAGCACACACACACGCGTGAGAGAGAGAGGGGAGGGGGAGAAAGAGAGAGAGAGTGA